GGCTCCAGGGTCCGTGCTCACAGCACAGGTATCCTGCTGGGACCACTGTGGTTACCCCCATTTTACAGGTGAGGAAACAGGCCCAAAAGGTGACTCGGTGGAGTAGACAGCCAGAAACCTGACTCCCAGGTATATCTTCTAGCTCTGCTTCCATAGACCTTCCCCTGCCTCGTTAAAGGTACATCAATAGTAATACGTTTTTTGTTTTGTTTTTTTAAAAAGGTACAACAAACCATTTTTGAAATGCCTGTCTTTGTTGATTAGGTTCCTAGAATATGAGTAAATAAGTACGGCTCGGGCCCTTCTCTACCAGGAGGAGTCCCGGCTTGCTCAGGAATGCTGCCCAGCCCCCCTGCAAGGAGTCTGCCAGGAGGTATTTTCCTATCAGCAGAAAATCAACTGTGAAAGTATATTTCTGCTGGCAGCATGATTCCCCACCAGGCAAAACGCTCTGCTGAGAACACCACCTCCTTCCCTTAGAAACCCAAATCCCAGGCCCAAGTTTTCCAACCCGGATCCCCCAGGCGTGTTGCTGTTTTCCCTGCTGCTGCAACAGTTACGTGTCCCTGCTTTGGGAAGGAATCGCCACCACTCTATGGGATCGTTTCTAAACAGATGTCTGAGAGCTTCCAAGGGATTTGTGCAGCGTAGTAAAAACCCTGCTCCATTCAGCAAACGTTTGGGATTGCCGCCTGCCGCAAATGTCAGCCCTGCGTGGGGAAACACTTCCAACGGCTGGGCTGCCCAAAGCTGAAATCGGGCCACTCTGTAAGGTAGTGAGCTCCCAGTCACTGGAGGTAATCAGGCAGCGGTGGGAAGCTTCTTGTGGCTAATGTGGGGAGGGCCGTGAGCAAACCAAGAATCATTCAGATGCCGCGGACTGGAGCAGAGAGGGCCCACGCTGTGGGTCGGGGCCTGTGCACTGTGGTTCAGGCCGTGACACACGTGCTCTGTGTGATTTTGAGCAAGTCCTATCCCCGCCGTGGGCCTCAGTTTCTCCTGTGTAAAATGGGCCGGTTCAGGGTGATAATCTCTAAGACCCCTGCAGGCTCTTCAGGTCTGAGTCAGTGCGCGTGGGTTTCTGGGGAAGGGCTTTGGGCAGGCGGCACGGAAGCAGGCATTGTTCACAGAGCTTGGCGTCACCCTGACTGAGCACTGCCCTGCGGTGGGCTGACGAACGTTCACTATGCCAGCTGACGTCGTCCTTACTCATACCTACTGCTGCTCGCACGTGAGGGAGCACACCCCACACCCCCTCTCCCACACCTGTCAGGCCTGAGAATCACTGGATTCGGTCCACGGTCTCAGCAGGTGTCCCGTAAGGGTCCTGGGGGTAAGCCCTCTCAGCTGGGGCTTGTGAAGCAATTCACACCCAGGGAAGCTGCGTGGCCAGGTCGGACCATGTGGGGCGCTGTTACCAGCCCACCGGCAGCCTAAGGAATGGGGGCCTGGCTGAGAGCCTGCAGACAAGGAGCAGCAGTCACAGACTGACCGGCCCCTGGGGGAAGGGCGCAACCTCTCCTTCCCCTCTAGCCCCGGGCCAGTTCCTCTCATTGACCAACCTCCCAGAAACCAGAGGGAAGGGGGTCAGGCATGCCGTCTATAGAGGTCGGCCTGACGGTCGTAGGTGAGGGGCTGTGCTCAGGCTGAAGGTCGTAGGTGAGGGGCTGTGCTCAGGCTGAAGGTCGTAGGTGAGGGGCTGTGCTCAGGCTGAAGGTCGTAGGTGAGGGGCTGTGCTCAGGCTGAAGGTCGTAGGTGAGGGGCTGTGCTCAGGCTGACGGTCGTAGGTGAGGGGCTGTGCTCAGGCTGACGGTCGTAGGTGAGGGGGGCTGTGCTCAGGCTGACGGTTGTAGCTGAGGGCCTGTGCTCAGCCTCCACATCCAGCCACTCACTGGATCCACTCAACAGCCCTCCAGCATTGCCATTGCCTCCCTCTACAGGGGGAAACGGACACGCAGAGGGTGAAGTAATTTGCCCCCTGTTTCATAAAGGAATCCAGCAGCAAATCCAGGTTTCAAGCCCAGAACGGATGCATAGGAGTTTGCAAGGTGGAAGAGGGGAGAAGCATGGGCAAAGGCCCAGAGGTTGATGCCTAGGAAGTATGTGCGGGAGATACAGGGAAGGCAGGTGGTGTGACTGGCACGTGAGGGGCATTGCAGTGAGGGCGTTTTGCAGACGAGGCTAGGAGGGTGCAGGGCCAGGTGGGAAGGGCCTTAGTCCAAGCCAAGGTGTGGAAGGGTGATTCTCACCAATCCCATTTCCCAATGAAGAAAACCAAAGCCGGAGAGGTAGGAATTGAAGTATTTGGGAGAAATCGGGGCCCAGGCAGGTGTAGCTCACTCAGCCTTTTTTCGGAGGAGGAGGTTGGGGGTCCTTCTTCTGACACTACTCCCAGCCAAGGACTCTGGGTGGAGAGACCCACCCTGCAGATGCCAAGGGGGCCCCCAGCTAGAGAACCGGAAGAAATGAGCAGGACCTAACAGAAATCAGAAAACAAAAAACTGTCTGAAATGCCAGCGAAGAGTCGGGGCTGCCGAACTGGACCGTCTGAACTTGAACCCCAGCTTTGCTCACGTAACTATTTGCCTTGTGACCGCAGACGAGTTGCTCTCCCTCTCTGGCCCGCTGACGCACCTGTCGCTCGGGCATCGCAGCAGCACTGAGGTCCTCGGGCTGCTGAGTGCTCTCGGGTTCCTGTGCGGGAGCACTCAGCGCAGTGCCGGGCGCACAGTGAGCACCCGCTGTACGTTGTCTGGTGTTGTCGCTAATACTGTTCTCTCCAGGAGGCAGGAGGCGCGGCGGTTGAGGAAAACGGAGGTGTTATTGGTTCACTTTATCTTGGTCTCAGGATGAGGAAGAAACGAGACGTGCTTTAAGCACTCACTGTACCTTTGCTTAATGACTACATCGGGACACTATTTCTTCTGGTCCTTCTCACTCTCACTTTCCAGTTGAGTGGCTTGCGTGGGGTCAAAGCTAGTTAAAGACCCCGTGACCACACCCAGATCTCCTAGGACTTTCCTCGAGGGTTCATAGGAATGGAGCACCATTGGAATTCTCTCTTGCGCGCGCTCTCTCATCTTGAACGACTCCCCGGTTTTAACTCATTCTCTCCTTTTTTTAATCCTCACACGAAGATATTTTTTCTATTTATCATAAGATAGAGTGGGAGGGAGGGAGAGAGAGAAACATCGACACGAGAGAGGCATATTGACTGGTTGCCTCCCGTACGACCCCGACCAGGACCAGGGACAAACTGCCACTGAGGTACGTGCCCTTGACCGGAATCAAACCCATGACTCATTGGTTCACGGGCCAACGCTCTACTGCTGAGCCAAACCGGCCAGGGCTTAACTCATTCTTTAACTCAGGTTTCCTGGCTATAAAACTGCAGGAGTTTGCAACAGGGCAAACATTGCTACCTGCTGAAACAAAAGACCCCCATCTCCACGGCTAACACAAAGGTTTGTTTCTTGCTGGTGGCACAGCGCCGTGGGCCAGTGGGATCGGGGTCCTCCACGCAGTCTTAGGGGATCTGGGCTCTTGCCACCTATTGACTCAGTCACCCTACAGCTCTGACTTCTCTGGCTCTCAAGCAACTAACCACGAGGAAAGGGAGAACAAAGAAGGGTCACTATCATGGGACCCAGCCGGATGCAAGGGGACTGGAAGACATGGTCCAGCCATGTGCCAAGAGGGACGATAACCCAGCCCCACTGATCGCTGAGCCCATCTCTGCTGCAGGGCTGGGCTACATTCCGTGACCCCCACTGGCCGCCCTGGAGTGCAGAAGGGAGGACTTCTGGATCCTTCTGTCTGCGCCTGTCCCCTCCCTCCCTCCCGGCTCCTTCTCCCTCCCATCCCAGAAGAGCGCCAGGCCCTGCCAAGCCTCCTCCTCCGAGGGTGGGTGGTGGGTGAGATAATGATCTTATCATACTTATTGCCTCTTGGAAGGCAGGTGCTGGAGAAAAACCAAGTCCGCTTTGGTTCTTCTCCCTGTTCCCTTCACATTCCTTCGCGAGATAAATTTAGCCAGCCCTCACTCTGAAAGGCAATGCCCAGGAGGCCGACGTTTTGTTCTCCGCGTCCACGTCAGTGCCCTTTTCGTGGCTGCGGGCCGTGGCCAGGAACACGGACCTCAGGAAGGCAGTCCCGGGCCCCGCCCGGCCCCAGACATCGTGGCTCGGCCTCCCACCCCTGCCCCGTGCCCATGGGCCTTGTCGCCACGTCTCAGACAAGGGTGACTCTTCCCCACCCGTGATCTCCCTCCGGGCCTGGCCTCTCCAGTGGGAGACAGAGCGCAGGACGTGGAAGGGCTTTGGGGTCTGGCACCCGTGGGCTCTCAGAGGCAGGACGGACGGTTCAGGGTTAAGGGCAGGGACTTCGGAGCTGTGGCTATGGGTCAGAATCATGACTCAGGCCAGTGACCTCTCATCTGTCCCCTCATCTATACAGGGGCCACCAGTGTCTTCACTGAGATGCGTATATGTATTAAGAGATTTGCATATTTGGGTTGCTCTGTCCATGGTGGGTCTGGAGGTGGTGATGGTCCACCTAGCTCAGGCCACCCTGAAGTCCAGCTGGGGCTTCCCAGAGCCTTCTTAGGAAGGATCGGGTGTTGGTAAGGGACAGCCCCAGGCTTTGCACCCAAGTAGGCCGAGGAGCCAGACAAACAGAATGAAGAAGCGTGGAGTCCAGCCTGGCTCAAACTTTTGCACACATCGGGGTTACTGAGGGAAATTACCTAAAAGGCAGAGTCCCCGGCCCTGCCCACAAGGGTGCTGATTGCAGGGGTTCAGGGTGGGGCCTGGGACTCTTCCTTTTAACGAGCCGCGGGATGGTGCCTGGGCAGGGGTCTGGCTCACCACACAGGGAGGACGGTGGCAGGTGTCCCACCAAACAGGCTGTAAGGGTTGCTCGGTAAGCGGTGGCCGTAGGCTCCAGAGGACCCTGCAGGTCCAGGCGCCCTAGTGGGACTCACCTCTGCCTCCGACCTCCAGGTTCGCCAAGTACTACAAGCTGGAGAACGGCAGCGAGTACCGCACGCTCCTGAAGGCTTTCGGCATCCGCTTTGACGTGCTGGTGTACGGAAACGTGAGTCCGGGCGGGTGGGTGGGCGGACAGGGAGGAGACCCAGACCAACCCTGGGCCCAGAGGAGGCTCCCGGGGCGGAGCAGGGCCCTGCCTCTGATCGGCTCTGAGACCCTCAGCGGGTCACACCTCTAGTGTCTGCACCTGTACCATGAGGGGGCAAGGCCTGCGGCTCCGAGGTCTCTCTGGCTGGGAGTCCAGGTTCGGCCTCTGGCCTCACCCCACCCTGCGGGACTCTCTGCCCACTCTTGGTCTCGCTGCATGCAGGCCGGCAAGTTCAACATCATCCCCACCATCATCAGCTCTGTGGCAGCCTTCACCTCCGTGGGAGTGGTGAGTTCAGCCTCTGGGCCCTGCCAGGCGGCCAGTCCGGGCGGGAGGGAGCTGGACCAGGTACGCCCTGCTTCAGCCTAGAAGGAAAAGCCCAGCCTCATGCCAGGTGCCTCAGTCTCCTCTACCACCCCCCTGTCGGTTGCCTCCTGCTTGAACACCTCCAGTCACAGGGAGCTCACTGCCCCCACATCGGCAGGAGGCTCGCCCGGTATGGGGTTCCTGTTCCTCACCGTGAGGGTGGGGGCAGAGACTTGACGCCTTACCATGACCGAGCCGCACCACAAGGACCTCCCTCAGGTCCCTCTGCTTCTCCCATCGAGTCCTCTCCCTGCATTTTGCTCTGGGTTCACCCCAGGAGCTGAGAAGGTGGGTCACGGAGACATCCCACAAAGCTCCTGAAACCTCAGTCCAGTGTCTCTGGCGGGCTCTCCCCACCCCTGACCTGCTGTGTGCCCCAGGCCAGTCCTGCCCACTGTGGGCAGCTCAGGGCCTGCCCTGCCTCTCCTTCTCCAGGGGACTGTCCTCTGTGACATCATCCTGCTCAACTTCCTCAAGGGGGCCGACCAGTACAAAGCCAAGAAGTTCGAGGAGGTGAGAGGGCCCACGAGGGCCAGTGGGACAGGGCAGGGAGGGGCCCTGGGCCCACAGACTCAGTGGTTCACCTTCTGGAGGCTTCTGAGGGGAAGTTCATTGGGCCTCAATGCATATTGGGGTCCAGACAAGAGGGCTTTGACCAAGAGCGGGCTCTGTGAGGCCCATGGGGGCTCTGTGGGTGGTCACTGTCCCCTCACCATCCACTCACTGTCCCCTGTCATCGTCCCCTGTCCATGTCCGGGGCCAGACAAATCCTGCTATGGGTTGGCTCTGGTTTCTGTCTGCCCTTGAGGTGCACAGATGGAGTCTTGAGATCACACAGACTCGCTGTAGCCCCACTAAAGACCAGGCCACGTGCCCTGACCACTGTGTCTGTCCACTGGGGTCCTTGCTCATAGTCGTAGCACGGTCATGCCAGCCTTCTGCCTGCAGGTGAATGGGACGATGCTGAAGGGCCCGGCCTCGGACATCCCAGTGTACCCCCGAGACCTGACCACGGAGGAGAAGCAGTCCACAGATTCGGGGGCCTACTCCATTGGCCACTAGGGCCTCCGCCCAGGGCCTCACACTCACCGCTGGGCTCCAGGCCTCCCAACAGGGGACCCCGCAGGGCAAGTGGATGGGAGAGGGGCAGGACTCTCGTTTCTGCTGCTCACCCCATGAGGCCACAGCCAACGGGAGGCTGGGCCTCCCAGTGCCCCCGCTGAGACTTCTCTCTCACCTTCACCCTTTGCCTCACCCCGTCCTCCTCCAGGACCCCCAGGCGGTAGCACCTGAGTCCTCCCCTTTCCAAAGAGTAGAGATGATAATAGTGATAATGAGTGCCTACCAAGTACCGGTCTCTCGTGCACAGTATCTCAGTTAATCCTTAGAATAATCCTGTAACCCCAGTGGTGAAGATGTTAGGTTCCCCATTTTGAAGATCAACTGCAGCCAGAGAGATTGAGCCATTTGCCCAAAACCACATGGCCAGGCCTCGAGAGAGATGGGATTCAGACCCAGGTCTCCATCGCCCACACCCCACCAGGCCAGGGGACACCCAGGGGCATCCGCCCCTGCGGCTTCCGTCTCCTCCACCCTGACCTCCATTAGGTTCAGCTTAATAAAGAGTAAGCCCCATGCCAGCCCCAGAGGCCCCATTTTCGGGGAGACCAGTGAGACAGGGGTGTGGGGTGTTTTCTCTGACTCAGGTGGGTCCCCAAATCAGAAGGAAATGGGGTGTGAATTTTCCTTACCTCCCCCCACAGCTCTGTCCCCAAACCAGGGCCGGGGCCTCCTTGTTCGCTCTCTGGGACACCACCCACCTCTGGGCCCTTCGCTGCAGGAGCTGGGTCTGGCCACCCAAGGTCCTGTTCTAGGAGGCCAGCGTCCTCCTGAGAAGACTGGTGAGCAGGCCCCGTGAGCAGCTGGGCAGCCAGGCCCGTCCCCACAGGGTCCTGGTCAGGTGGTCAGTCTTCTAAGGTGAGAAACCAACGGGTTTTAGAAACCATCTTGTCTGATGAGCGAACTGCGGCCGAGAAATGGCCGCCTGCAGGCCGAGGCCCGGCTCTCGGGGAGGGAGCACGGGAAGCTGGCAGGGCCGCTGGCAGGCACGGTCTGCCCTGCCCCCGCTTCCCTTCCCCGGGCACAGCGCAGGGGCAGACGCAGGTTTTGTGAAGCCTGAAACATATACAGCTTAGGGGATCTTTCCAAAAAGACTACAAAATTAGGTACCAGAAAGGGTTTGTGCAAGCGAGGAGCCCTGAAGTGCGTCCACTGGCTTCGGGCGCGTCGGCCTCTGGGAGAGCTGGCTGTGGGCCTGACCCTGGGGTCTGAGCAGAACCAGCTGAACTGTAGGGGGGCTGGCCCTCCTCAGAAGGTGCAGGGAACCGGGTGAGGGCAGCTGTGGGAGCGGCTTGGGAGGATCAACTGTGGGCACCTGCATAGCCCCACCCCAGGGACACCCCCCACCAGGGGGAGAAGGGGTAAGATTCCCCCACAGGAGGCCCATTCCTCCTCCCCAGCCCCGTCCTGAGGACCGTGGGCTGACACCTCCCCAGGGGCAGCCTTGAGAACCCCGCAGTGCCTGGAGGTCCGGCCAGGAGAGACCTCAGTGAAGGCAGCACCATGGTCCCCACCCGGAGACCCACAGGCCCTCCCATGCGCCCGGCTCTCCGGAGGCTGCGCTGAGGCTAGGCTCACAGGGACATCTGCTGAGGAGGAGGTCCAGACAGCTGTGTCCTGGAGGAACCCTCTTCCCCAGCCCCTCCCTTCCCTCCAGGCTGGGGTGGTCCTCCTGCCGCCTCTCAGCGGCTCCTGAACCTGCCAGCGCTTGTGTGACTCATGAGTGTGAGCCTGACCTTGTCCTCCCCACAACTGAACTAAGTGACCACTTCTGTGTGCTGGGGCTTAGGGTTATATCAGCAGTTACAGTGGCTCACTGGTCTCTGCTGCCTCCTGGTGTCCTGGGCCCCATCACCAACAAAATCGCACACCAACCCTGGCAAGGCTGCTATGGTCTGCTGTTAATCCCACTCGATAGGAAAAGAGACTTTCAGTGTCTGGAAATGGAAACTGGAACCCATGCTCATTCCTAACACTGCGTTGCTTCTTTAATTACTCGTTATAAAAGCTGACATTTAGTGAGAACTTGCCATGGCCAACCAATGGGCTAGATGAGTTGCAGGGTTTGTCTAGTTCAACCCTCATCTTACAGAAGAGGAACCAAAGGCGTAGTAAGGTTAAGAAACTGAAATGATGAAATTGGGGCTTGAATCCAGAGCTTTATGACTTCAGAGTCTGGGATCTTGACTTCTGGTCTACATCTGCCTGGGAAATATTAGGAAATTTGTTGACACCTTCTTCTCTCTAAATTTTAGTTAGGCCAAACCAGGTTTTGCCGTAGTAACAAGTAAACTGCAAAATCTCAAGGTTTACTGTGACAAAGTCAGTCAGGCAGCCCCTCCATCGGGAGCCATGCCGCCGGGGGCATGTGGAAGGACAGTGAGAACGGTTTGACCACAGTGGGTCACTTAATGGCCAGGCCTGGAGGGGGCTGTGTCTCTTCCACCCACGTGGCATTGGCCAGACTCGGTCGCATGGTGCAGAGCCCAACTTACTACAAGGAATTCCAGGAAATACAGTCTTCCTGGGCCCCATGAAAAGAAACTGGTGGACACAGCAATCCTTGCTTCATTATCTCCTTTTTAATGGCTTTTCTTCTCCACCTCCCCCCACCCCCGTGCCCACTGACAGTCCACACATCCTCCCCCTCTCTGTGCCCCTCACAACACCTTGTTCTCGTCTCGGCAAGTTAATCAGTCTCCCAGAGGCATTAATAAAGAACACACTCAGGAGTTCCTTCTAAGAGTATTTGCTTTTTTTTTTCTTAATTTTTTTCTTTATTGATTTTTTTTTTGAGAGAGAGAGAGAGACAGAAACATTGACGAGAGAGAACATCGATTGGCCGCCTCCTGCATGCCCCCCACTGGGGATTTGACCCACAACCTGGGCATGTGCCCTGACCGGGAATCAAACCGGCGACCTCTTTGTGCATGGGTCAGTGCTCAACCACTGAGCCACGCTGGCCGGGCTGAATATTTGCTTTTTAATCAAGGGCTATTCAACACGGAAAGGACTTAAACAGCAAAAGGAATGAATATATATACAACATGGTTAGCCCTGGCCGGTTTGGCTCAGCAGTTAGAGCGTCAGCCTGCGGTCCAGAGAGACCCGGGTTCGGTTCCCGCTAAGGGCATGTACCTCGATTGCAGTTTGTTCCCGGCCCTGGTTGGGTCGTGAGGGTAGCAGCCACTCGATGTGTACCTTTCACGTCGATGTTTCTCTCTCTCCCTCCCACTCTATCTGAACAAAACATGTCCTCGGGTGAGGATACAAAAAAAAAATGGTTAAAGTTGAGGCCCAATATGACAGTACTAGATATCTGAGGGACACCTTGTCTACCCTGGCTTGCCTTAGGCAAGCTTCAGACTGAAGGGCTCTGAGCCCCCCCTTTCCCCCTCCCTCCCTCTGCTTCTGGTCTCAACTGGCAGGATACTCAGCTGCTAGGATTGGCTAGAGCCCATTTCCATCCAGGAGATAAGCAGAGGCTGATAAAGGGGCAGGGGGACCTTTCAGCTGAAATGCCAGTCCCCTATGCAGAGCTTCCCTTGCTGTGATCCTTCCCACCCTCATAGCCAGGCTCGCCTGTGCTTTTAGAAGCAGGGCATCAAGAATTAGCCTGTAGTACACAATGCAGGGACCTGGGGGGGGGGGCTGACCCTCCAGGCAGCTCCCCTCCCATGCCGTTGGGGAGACTGACATGCTGTGATTAGGAGCTTCCTGACCCAATCTCCATCCAAGGCAGATGGACAGGCCCCTGTGCGAAGGACGGGTCTTCACCTAGAACAGTGGTTCTCAACCTTCCTAATGCCGTGACCCTTTCATACATTGTATGTGGGTGTATCTGCATGTGGGTGGACCCGCCTGGAGACAGAGGAGCGGTGTCTCGGTTCCTAGGACCATCAGAAATATGTTTTCCAATGGTCTTAGGCAACCCCTGTGAAAGGGTCATTCAACCCCCCAAAGGGGTCGCGAACCACGGGTTGAGAACCACTGACCTGGAGGCAGCCCCTGGGGCCCGGCGTTGGTGAGGCTCCTGGCAGCGCCAAGGCCCATCATCCTGTTGCCAGAGGCCTGCTTGTGTTCAAGGGACTCACCCCTGCTGCTGCTTCACCACCCACTGCCCTAGGGGGACTCCAACCCTGTCCTGTTCCGCCAACTCCAGCACCTTTAGAAACAAACCACAGCTGGTCCTTTGTTCCTTTTTGTTCCTGAAATTCCACATCCCCTGAGGCGCCTGTACAGATACACACACAGACATAGACCTGTACACAGGTGTGCTCAGGCACACACTGGCCTGTGTACACACTCCGAAACATGCTGGCCAAAGACACACAGATACAGGAACGCAGGGATTCAGGTGGGTAAGGGTAAGGGTGCACAGCTACACAGACATACACATTCACAGATGTACAGACATACAGGCCTATCCATAAATACGCAGAGATGTATAAAATATACACACACTCAAACAACTCATAAATATACACTGACACACAGATTGTGCACATTTACAAAGAAAGATTCCCATATACACAGACACACTAGGAATACAAAGATGACCCGTGGACACACCAAGATACATATACACACATGCACATGCGTCCACAGAAACACTTGTGCATTCTCCCTGGGCCCCGTGGAGAACTACAACCCAGACCTCCCTGACCTCTGAAAACCCCGTCTCAGGTCAGGCTTCCTGCTTCATCAAGTCCAGATCCTTCCTGGACCCCAGCAGCCCACCTGGAACAAAGAGCAGCCACAGTCTTCTCTCTCAATGTCCCCAGGGGTCTGAGGATGGGGTGAGAGACAGAAGCTGAAGCCTGGGGCTATAGAACTGACTTTGGCCCCAAAGTCCTCCTAGTGGGAGGTAGCTCCCTCCTGAGAATGTGACCCCCCACCCAAGAAGGTAGACTGGGGACTGGGGAGAGGGAGAAGGATTGGGGGCGGGAGCCACCCTCCTGGAACTATCAGAAGTTGGGGCCTTTAAACTCGCCCACAGGTGGTTGGGAGAATGGACAGTAAGGGGCAGTGTCAGGCCAAAAAGACGCAGGGCCGGACAAGGCTACTCTCTTCCCGCCTATGTGGCTACAACAGGTGGAAATCTCACTACTGTTAGAAAAAAATAAAAGGGCCCCAAATGGAGTCACCTGTGCTAAGCCCACCCAAACAAGACTGAACCCCTAACCTAACTGGAAGTCACTCCCAGGAAGTCACCTGTAACCAGTCAGTCTGGAATTTCCCCGTCCGTGGGCACTGGTGAGGTCATCGTCTTGACAGACCCCTTCCAAAGAAAGGCGCCCTCCCCTGAAACCATCTGCTCTCTCAGGCACCTCCCTGCTGCTCCCTCTGCCTAAAACCCCTCCCATGGTGCACAGCTCCTCAGAGCACCTTTCTGTGCTCTGGGTGGGATGCTGCCTGATACATGAACTGTTGAGTAAAGCCAATGTCATCTTTACATTGACTCAGCTGAATTTTAGTTTTTAACAGTCCTCCAATTCTTACTCAGGGACATTGCCCTCATTTTGGAAAGCTGCCCCACTTCCACCCCACCCTGCACCCCACACTGAACCCAAACAAGGCAGAAGGGCTAGTTACCCTCCCTCACCCCAATGAGAACTTCCTCCAGAGTAGGGGAGGAGGGGAAAGGGGTGGAATCCCCCAGCCTGGGCTGAGAAGGGTCTTGGGAGAGCCACCTCCTCCGGGCTCCACCCCCAGATGGTGCTGTAGCCAAACACCTCAGCGCCCCGCCACCACCCTGCCACCCACCCCCATGGGGCACTGGGCCATCTTTTACTTTCCTCATAGCCCAACCCTGCAGGAGTGAAGGTTTCCAGGATTTTCCAACCCCAGGGAGTCCTCCAAATGAGCAATGAAGAAACGGGAGCCAGGAAATGCAGTGGGAAGTATGGCTTTATGACCAGGGAGCCCCACCCAGTGCCCAGGGTGGGTCAGGGGCAGCCAGGAGGGGTGTAGGAAGGAGGCTCCCAGGCAGGATCTTTGTGCATCTCAGCCCTCCTTACAGAGGTTCTGTCGCTGTCCAGCTGCGGGGAGACTTAGTAGGAGCAGATGAAGGGCCGCCGCTTTCGGCAGCCCGATCGTCGCCACTGACCCCCTAGCAGTGGAGAGCACAGTAAATGTCAGCTGCGTCCCAGCATGGCCCGTGGCCCCCATTCCCTCCTCGGGCACCTCATGTGTCTCTTTTTTGCCTGTCACCAACTGTCATGATAGGTTTGCCACACCTCCCCTCTAGCTGTGTGCAGTGAGCTTTCTCCCTAGGAGGGCAGTGTGCTGAGTGCTTTAGGTGGGCTCCTGGTTCATCCTCACAATGAATGGAGAGAGAGATGCTGTCGTCATCGCCCTTGCGCAGAGGGGGGGCCTGAGGCTCGGCGGGGTGGTCGCCGGCCTGTGTGTCAGCGGGCAAGGGCAGAGCGGGGAAGCCTCACTCCAGCACGCGTGGCCCTGGCTGCAGCACTGAGCTCCCTCTGGTCTGGCCTCCACGCTGGTCCTAATCCCCACATCACACCTTCGTCCCTCCTTGCCACTCCTTCCCTTTGCCCTGGTACCCAGCCCCCTCACCTGCGGTGCATAGGGTCACACAGCGGCCACGTCCATTCCAAGGTTGCCCTGCGGCCCAGTTTGTATAATCTACTCTGCTCCCGTCAATCCAGCGAAACTGCCGATTCTGGGACGAAGGAAGTGATAGGCTGTGTCAGAGGCAGAGATCCAGGAAGACAGACAGATTCGGAGGCTCCAGAAAATGCCCACTGAGTATCCCTTTCTGGGTACTGCCCACCCACCCAGAGCGGATATCCCAGAGACCCACCCCCGAGGGTTCACAGGCAATGACGAGAGAAGAGCAGCCGCCCCCCACCCCATGCCATCACACAGTGCAGGCTTCTCAAACATTTCTGTGAATGCAAATCTCTTGTAGCTCTTTAAAGATGCAGCTTCTGATTCAGGAGTCTCAGATGGAGCCCAAGACTGCATTTCTAACAAGCTATCAGGCGATGCTAATACTGCGTGGTCCCCGGACCACACTTGAGTAGCAAATACAGTGGTGCTCATTCACCCACTATCCCAGAGCCACGCTGAGAGAAGAAGGATCCCGTTTTAGACATGAGGAAGCCATTCAGCTAGTAAGTGACGAAGCTGGGCACGAAACCGCTTCCTGATTCCAGTAGTGTGCTGGTCAGTGATTAAAACCAGCTCTGGGGAGAGGTGAAAAGGCAGAGTGGAGGAAGCCTGATTTGTAACAATTGCCAATTCCCTTTGGTGTAAATACATTCCCTTTGGTGAAATACACCCACCATGGCAGATTTCATGCTACGAGCATGGAGTTACTGAACATGGAGTTGGGAAGACAAGTGCACAGTCGCCGCTCTCCTTAGCCAGCTCCCCCACTACCTCCCACAGGAAGGTCACTAACTGCTGGAATGAGGCCTGATGCGCCCAGGTGCTCCCTTGAGGCAATCAGAGAGAACTTCCTGTACCTGGGAGTTGGCCCCGCACTTACCCAGACCCTGAATCTGCCTCCAATCCAGACCTGGCCCTGGTTGACCCCATTGGTCAAGCACTTCATGCGATTGTTGAAGCTCAAGTTGTGAATGGAGACAAGGCAGCCTCTGTAGCACCTACTGCAGGTTCTCTGGAGAAAGAAAAGGTGGGGTAGAGAATTCACCATTTTTTCTCAGTCCCCAGGAGAGAGCTGTCGATCCCTTGTCAGGTCAGAAATCAGGGATCTACTTGCCCCCTCAATCCCATTTCTTGCTCCTTTATCTGTCATCAGGAACTTCTTGCAGGAAATAATAATAATACTCAGAATTACTTTAGCCACCATGTATTGAGAGTTTACAAAGACCCAGGGACTATTCAAACGCCTTCCATGTACTATCTCATTTATCCTCACCACAACCCGAAGAGGTTGGTGCTATATATCTCCACTGTGCAAGAGAATATCCTGAAGCTCTGAAAGGTGAAGTGACTTGTCAAGGAAACACAACCAATGACGGTGGAGCCAGGGTTTGTTTGTTTGTTTGTTTTATTTTTATCCTCACCTGAGGACATTTTTCGATATTTTGTTCAGATATAGTGGGAGGGAGAGAGAGAGAAAAAAAACATTGACGTGAAAGGGACACATTGAGTGCTCACCACCCACATGACTCAACCAGAGCCGGGGACCAAACTGCAACCGAGGTACATGCCCTTAGTGGGAACGGAACCCGGGTTTCTCCAGACCGCAGGCCAACGCTCTAACTGCTGAGCCAAACCAGCCAGGGCTGGAGCCAGGGTTTAACACAGGTATGACTAATATCAAAGCCTTTGTCCAAATCAGTGATTCTCAAAGTTCTGTCTCCAGACCAACAATATCATCAACTGGTACTTTGCTATAAATGCAAACTCTTGGGCCCCACCCTAGCCTTGCTAAACCAGGAATCTATGTCTTAACAAGACCACTAGGAGAACCTGCTGCACATTAGGGTTTGAGAACCACTAGTATAAATGAATAAGGAACAGGAGATTGAATCCATTCTCTGCTCCTCCTCCTGGTCCCCCTTCCACAGTAGCCTCTCTGCCACTTACCCGAGCACCTCTAAATGTTTTGAGGGTCCGCACCAACAGGTAACGGCAGGTCTTGCACTGAGGACTTCCCAGTATTTCAACTGTGTCTTCTGTCCTGGGGCACTGCAAGTTCTCGTCTAGGTCACTTGGGTCTGACTCCATGTCCTCCTCGTCTTCAAAGTCATTTTGAGAGCTAGAAGAATTCATCTGCTCTTGTTCTGACTGAATCACCTCCTTAGTCAGGACCAACTCTTCCTTCTGCTCCCCTGACCCTTCCAGATCCTGGCTCAGGTCTGCCTCTGTGTCTTGGCTGTCCAGATGAAGGACATCATTCCCTGGGAAGAAGAGGTAACCTGCCATCAGGTCAGGGGCTTCCTTCCTTCAGGACCATGGACAGCCCCACTCAAGCCTTCCTAGAGGCCTGTCTGGAGTCTAGTCGGGAAGGATCTCCTTGGTGTGGGGTAAGGTGAAAACGCACACAAATGAATGAGAACCTGACACTGGCCGACGCGTGTGTATTTCAGCGGTGGGAAGAAGCACCTCTGAGAAGGCGGGTGGTTTTTCCTTGTGAAGGAACCCTGACAGATCACCTTTCTGAGTCCAGGAGAGATCTTACCAGAGAAGAGCTGGGTCAGCTGAAGAAGGAACGCTGTGACCCTGGTCCAGAGAGAGCCAAAGAGGTGCAGGAAAGAGGAAAAAGATAAATCTGGATGAGAAGGGAAGGGAGGACTTACCCAGATGAAGAGCAGCGACTGTCCCCAGCAGAAGAAGGGGCAGGAGCAGCTGGTGCTTCATATTTATGACAGGGACAGAGTTCCACCTTCCGTCCTTGGGGATGTCCTCTGAATCGTTGTGTCTGCACAGCCCCTGTCACGTAACAGAGATGCAATGTTTGTTCACTAGTTGATCAGAGGGCAAACTAGAGAGCTTCCTTCTCCCTGATGAATAGACCCTCACCTGGAGAGTCAGTATAGGACATGGGGGTGTCAGCTCAAGTTCAAAAGTCCCTTTTACCTGAGTGCTCCATCAGTGACCCCTGGGATGGCACTTATCCCAGACCCTTGCCACTACAGGAACAGGTCGGCTCAGGGTCAGAGCTGATTTCACTCACACTGGAGAAGGAGGGGAAGGACAGTGGCCATTATGGTCCTGAGGACAGGCCTCCTAGGTATTTGCCATATAGGCTTCTGCTTCCTCCCAAGCCTTGGACCCCTCCTCCCTGGGCAGCTGTGGGGTACTCACCTCCCAAGAGTCTGTTCTGTGTCTCTGGCTGCTGGGCCCTGGAGGCAGTTCTTATATACTGGGCTTTTGGGGAAGTGGGAGGAGGCCAGGATGATTGCCCCAGGCTGGGGTGCTGGGCAGAGGCACTGATAAGACATTCGCTCAGTTCTGTCACCTGCTCCCTGCTGGGACTGCAGGCACCTGCCTCCTGGGGCCTACTGACACCTATAGGTGTCCAAACACCCAGCTGTTCTGGAGAAGACCCCAGATGTCTATTGCCCAGACAGACTGACTATTATACCCCTGAAGTGCCCCAGTCTTAACTCCAAGAGCATCCTTCCTCTGGCCACTATCCCAGCCAATGAAGTGGAGGATCCCAGGATGCTGGGGGACCAGGAGGGGAGGAGGGAGGAGGGGAGGGAGTCTCACCCTCCTGAGTGCTTGGTTAGATCAGGGATTTTATGTGCATCCACCCCAGAATCTTCACTTTACCTCACCCCATGAGAATGTTCCCATGAGAATGTCTGATGACCCTTACTTCACAGGTGTGAAAAATGAGATTCAAAGAGGGAAAGTCACTTGCCAAGCTTGCGCGGGAAATGGGGTACCTGGGATTTCTAAATCTTTTTGGCTTGCAAACCTTCTCTCTCTCTCTCTCTCTCTCTCTCTCTCTCTCTCTCCTCCCCCCCTCTCTCCCCCTCTCTTCTCCCCTCCCTTCTTCCCTTCCTCCCTCTCTTTCTCTTTCTCACTCTACTTCTCCCTCTTCTTTTATTTATCTTTAATGTGTGGAAAACATTAAAGTATGCTCTTCTCTGCTATGGGTCTAGATTAAGGTTCTCAACCTTCGCATTATTACTATTTGGAGTCAAATAATGATTTGTTGTGTGGGGCTGTCCTGCGCATTGTAGAAAATGTATCAGCACCCCTGGTCTGTACCCACTAGATGTCAGGAGCACCTCTCCCCAGTCAATCTAACTGTCCCCCAAAACAATCAAAAATGTCTCCACACATTTCCAAATGTCCTCTCGGGATCACTGATCTAGAGGATCACTGATCTAGAATATACATTTTGTTCAACCTCGGGGCTTATCTTCAGGAAAAGAGGCGAAGACTGGAATGGAAAACTTCATGCAGAATCTTTCAGACACACTGTGGGCCACCCTCCCCTCCTTACCCCAACTCTTATTTCCCATCAGCCCTCTGTGACCAGCAGGGTAGGGCTATGGGGGAGTGAATGAAGTGCTTGCCTCAGGTGTAAAATTTACAGGGAACTAAAGAATTCAGTAGCCAAGATAGTCCTGGCCAGTTTGGCTCAGCGGTTAGAGCGTTGGCCTGTGGTCCAGAGATACCCAGGTTCGGTTCCCATTAAGGGCATGTACCTCGGTTGCAGTTTGTCCCCGGCCCTGGTTGGTTGTGCGGGTGGCAGCCACTCGATGTGTCTCTTTCACATCAATGTTTCTCTCTCTCTCTCTCTCTCTTTCTTCCTCTCTCTCCCTCCCACTCTATCTGAACAAAAAATTGAAAAATGTCCTCGGGTGAGGGTAAAAAATTTTAAAAAAATAATAATTCAGTAGTCAAGATAAATAATACTTTAATGCAAACTTTCTTGGAAGTCAAAATAAATGCAAAAACATCTGTGATGAATAAATATCAAAACTTTAATCAACCAAGGTGCAGCCAAATTTACTGCAGTCCAAAGAGAGGCCAGCAAGTGCTGAGCCCTGACTTTGCTGGGTATCACTGCCAGAGCTAGTGGTCTTGTCCGGGTGGGCGACCGGCTCTGACATTCTCCATGGGCCATCATATTTGTTCCTCAGACCCAGCCCAGCCCTCCAGGGCTCAGGGCACCAGGGACAGGTAGCCCAGAGGCCTACGCTCCTTCCCTCCCTCTGCTCTCCCAGGGGACCCACAAATAGAGAAGTACCTGAGAGGTCACGTCTAGGAGTGATTGCAGAGTAACGGTCTTGCTGTTATCTCCCTGGCCCAACGGACCAGACCCTCAGCTTATCTACCTGACATGGGGTGGTGGTAGTGGGCAGATTGGCCAATTCTGGGGCCCAAAAACCTGGTTTCAAATATAAAGCTTAAGACCACCCAGATGGAGAAGGGGTGGAGGGCTAGACCCCCTTGCCCATCATTGTCCTCCTTCCTGCGTCCCAGGCCAGGGGCATTGTATCACTCGAGAGTGGAAATGACCATCTGCTCTCAAGAGCCAGACCCACAATGAGTTTTATACACACTTTCGTTTGAACACCTCCATGTTACAGATGTGGAAATGGCTTCTCAGAGAGCTTGAACAAGCTGCCCAAGATCACACAGCAAGTCAGAGACAGACCTAAGACATATCTAAGCTCGGAGAGGTTAAGTGACTTGCCCGCGTTCATACAACTAGAAAGGAGTGAGTAGCGTGTCTGACTCCATGTCCTTGCTTCTTTGATACACCCAGTCTATCCAATGATGCCGACGTCTTCAGCGTCCATGAAACTCCAACTGTCAGGCTTACTGTTTGCATGTATGTTCATAGGGCTTTCAAACTCTGCCTCTTTTTTTTTTTTAATTTATTTTTTATTGATTAATTTTTGTTACAGATGATTCTCCTTTTTCCCCCCACTGATTCCCCCCTCTCCCTCCCCTCCCTGCCCCTTCCCCAGATTGTTGTCCATGTCCACTGTTCATGCATACATGCGTATAAGTTCTGTGGTTCATCCCTCCCCCACCTCCCCACTCCTTAGGGGATTGTCAGTCTGTACCCCGCTTCCGCATCTCTGGGATTACCCCATTCCTCAAACTGTTATGTTCATTATATTCCACAAATAAGTGAGATCATATGATACTTGCCTTTCTCTGTTTGGCTTGTTTCACTTAGGATGATACTTTCCAGGTCCCTCCATGTAGTCTCAAAGGATAAGAGATCTTTCTTTCTTACCGCTGCGTAGTACTCCATTGTGTATATGTACCACAGCTTTTTGATCCATTCGTCTACTGATGGGCACTTGGGCTGTTTCCAGATCTTAGCGATTGTAAATAGTGCTGCTACAAAGATGGGGGTACATATATTCTTTCTTATTGGTGTTTTATGCTTCTTAGGGTATATTCCTAGAAGTGGGATCACTGGGTCAAATGGAAGATCAATTTTTAATTTTTTGAGGTGACACCATATTGTTTTCCATAGTGGCTATACCAGTCTGCATTCCCACCAGCAGTGTACTAGAGTCCCCTTTTCTCCACACCCTCGCCAACACTTGTTGTTTGATGATTGTTGATGGCGGCCATTCTGACAGGTGTGAGGTGATACCTCATTGTTGTTTTGATTTGCATCTCTCTGATGATTAGTGATGATGAGCATTTCTTCATATGTTTCTTAGCCATTTGTATGTCCTGTTTGGAGAGGTGTCTATTTAGTTCCTCTGCCCATTTTTTAATTGGATTCTTTGTCTTCCTTTTGTGGAGTTGTATGAGCACTCTATATGTATTGGAAATTAACCCCTTATCTGATATATCATTGGCAATTATGCTCTCCCATACAGTGGGTAGCCTTTCCGTTTTGATGATTGTATCTTTCGCTGTGCAGAAGCTTTTGAGTTTGATGTAGTCCCATGTGTTCATTTTCTCCTTTGTTTCTATTGCCTTAGGTGATGTGTCAGTAAAAATTCTGCTGCGTATGATGTCTGAGATTTTGTTGCCCACAGTCTCCTCTAGGATTTTTATGCATTCATGAGTTACATTTAAGTCTTTTATCCATTTTGAGTTTATTTTGGTGTAGGGTGTAAGTTGATGGTCTCAAACTCCACCTCTTGTCTCAAGATTCAGTCTAGCCTCACATTAAGCAGAGAGTGGTTTTCACTGTCTCGAGAAGCAGTTTAGCATGATGCAAACGGATGGCAAAGTCCAGAGTCAGCCCCTCTGTGTCTCAGTTTTTTCATCTGTGAAGTGAGGCTAATGACAGACCCTAATTCTGATGAGATCGGCTCCAGTAATGTTCTCGGGACAGCGCCTGGCCCCTGGTGCTGGGGTGGCCCTGTCAGGAGACCAGGACTGGAACTGTGGCCCGTGTCCGCCAATGAGCGCTGAGTCTCCGTTGCCCTCGGCTCTGGTTGGCGCCATGTGAGGAACTCCAGGAGTCCTGCTGTGAAGACCAAGCTTCGTTTCCCAGAGCTTAGCACCTTGTTGGAGAAGGGGAAAGCCAATATTTGGGGTGGAAGGTCAGTCCTCTTATTTCATTAATTTTACATTTGTGAAACTTTTCTTGTGGATGTATAATACGTATAATACATAGCTGGGCTGCTCAGGGGATTTTCACAGAATGAATGCACCCACATAACCATGCCCAGATCAAGATACTGAATATTACCAGGAGCCCAGATGCCTCCTTCGTGTCCCCTTCTTGACATTAATGCTCTAAAGGGGAACTTTAGGGACTGAAAGTCACACTTCTGTCATGACACCCCCCTCCAACAGAAGGTTTGTGAAGGACAAGGCTGTCCACCCACCACTCAGCACAGAACATGGCACCAGTAAATACTTAACAAATGGGAGCTTTCTTGCTTTTAATTATGAATATTTGAGTAAAGGGAAGCAAGGCCTTCTCACACCAGGATATGAAGTCCGCAAGGGCAAGGGGGCACAGCTCTACCCCAGCTGCACCCTGCACGGCCCCCAGCATAGGGCTGAACCCAGCATGGGTTTCAGAACCCCACCATCTCTGAAACCAATAGACTGCTGCACACCGTTACACTGGGCCTCAGTTTGATCTCTATCTCTTTCCCAACTTACTGTGCAACCTTGAGCAAGGAGCTTCTCCACTAGGGGCCACACTAAATAAATTAAAGTTTTTTATTTGCCTCTTTCTGAGACCTTGGTCCCATCTCAAATTCCCTGAATTTGAGGAGTCGCAGAGGAAAGGGGCTTTGGGCATTGACCCACAACTTTCTGCTCACCTCCCTAGTGGAGAGAGGGTCCCAAATGCCTTCCTTCCTCCCCTGCGATTGGGAATCCCTCATCTCCACCTGGGCTGGAGTCCTATGCCCCAGGAT